ACAAAATCTACTTTCTATGAGTACTCTGTAAGTAAAACTGTGTAGAAGAGGGGTCTGTTTTAGCCTTTGAATAACAACTCTTTCATCTGATCCCTTAGAAGCTTAAACACTGTAAATAAATGATAGAAAATTAAGATAAGTAGATCCTACAATGGTATAAGACTTTGTAGATAGAGATGGTTTTGCATATGTAAAACAGAAAGTGAATAATTATTTGGAATACAACTTTGCCTTTGTTTTCAGACAAGAGACTTTGTGATGTAAAAAAGATGGTCATGTATTAAACTGAAAGAATAAGTCAATTGTGGCACTGATACAATTGTTTTCTAACAGTGTTGAAGAAAAATCTCAATAATACTGTCTAATACTGGAGATTAGGTTGGCAGGAAAATACCCAAACCAAGTGTATTATACTACTGGAAATCATCCATCACATTTTAAAAATGTGTAAGTATATACATAATAGTTGCTTTGCCAATCCTAGTAGTGCTTAGCTGATTCCATCACATACAATCATCAATAGAAACATTAGAATACGACATTGCTGCTTGTTCCACTCTACTATTTAAGGGAAGGATTATTTTCTTAAATCAACTAAGCAAAATGGTACCTGTATAAAAGAGCTGTGGATAAACAGTATCGGGTTTATCACTCATGCTCATCAAGCTGCAGAACCTTCCACCAGCTCTGCAGCAAAATACAAGCCAAGCAACCAGATGAAAGTCATTTTTGCAGCAAGTGAACTGTTTTCAAGTTTCAAGTACAACTAGAAACATGAAGCTACTGCAGTGCTGCTGGTGACCTAAAGATAACACAGAGTTATAAAAGGAACCTCAGCAAGCTTCCAAGGTGGGTATCCTTTTCATCCAGCTGTGCTCTGTAGAGATACAGGCCTTCAAAAAACCCAGCACATCACTGGTTTTAAGATAAAATACTGCCAATACCCATGTACAATTAGAAAGTTAGAGCTAGGATAACATACAGAACAATTTATGCAAAGGAGACGGCCGAGGGGCGAGAAGAAAGCGCCAGGTATTTGGAGACACCAAATGAACTGAGATGCCTCAGCTCCAAGGAATATTGCAAAGGATGGCAAATCAGATAAATAGCATCAGAGAAATTACTTGCCGAAGCACCAAAGGATGAGCAGGTGAAGGCATTAAAGTACAAGGTGTTGTGGCCCTTATTAGGCAGTGAGACAATGGGAAATCAATACAATGATGGACATGGCATCTCCCAGTGCAGCAGAAATAAGGAAATATTTTAAAATACCAAAACTTAACTAACAGTAAATAGAGAAAAGGGAGTTTAAGCCACCGTCTGGACTTCACAATTTATAATTGCAGAAAATTCGTAGACTGGGAATGGATTTTGAGGAAAATGCTAATTCTTTTGAATGATAACCTTAGCGACGAAAATGAGATAGAGACTAGTAAAAATCTGTTTACAAGAGCAGTCACCAAGCATCTGAAAGTTCAGTAGGAATAATTTTTAATAATCTTTATAGCCTCAGTGCCTCATTCTGGGCATAAGGCAGGAAGTACTTTAACACATCATTTAATGTCAAATAACTGAATAAATGAGAAGCGGAGTGACCGGCTAGGATGACAGTCCTGGACTGCAGAAGCACTCCCCAAACTAGCAAAGCAGCCTGGTTACAGTAGCTTAGCAAGAGATCCTGTGAAAGGGTTCAAGGTAGCGAACGATGCTGACAAGCAAATCAAAGGAATAAGGGAAAAGGGACTGGCTTGGAGGAAAGTGAAGTTTACGCTTTTCTTTCTTTTATCAGTAATTAACCTAAAATGCTTTACCCAGCTTAGTTTATGCTAAATTTATACATAATTATGGGAAGCAAACCATCACTTTTTTTTTTTTTTAATTTCACTTCCCCACCTCCCCCTAATCTTTCATTTTATCCAGATGATTTCACAGAAGTGTGTCCACAAGGAAGGGAATCGCTGCATAAAGTCTCCAGGAGCAGAGAGAGTTGCTGGAACTGATTACTCACATTAGATTTGGTATCGAACCTGAAGAGCTGTTGTTCTGTATCACCAAGCTCCACAGATCCCAACTGCGATGAGTACAGAGACGCTAAGAGGCAGGTTATCTAGGTTACCAGAAGCTTCTGTGCTATGAATTACGCCAGGTAACTGATGCGGCTTCTGCAGCATCATCTTTAAAGGAATGGCAAGAGTGCCCTTAAGCATGCATGTGGGGGAATTCAGAACCAGATCATGACTGAGCTGGAAAAGTATGCTTTTGGTCATCTAATCTCATTAACTTTTCCCCCGTATCATGAGAATACTTTCTTCTATTACTAAAGATGGTGTTTGCTGTAAAGGAGTGTTGAACCTGGGGTTTGTAAGTGAGTAGAGTCTAGATCACACAGATTTTCAACACCTGCAGCACCAGGAAGGTGGGCATTCTTCTTGAACCCGAAAAATGCACAGTTTGTGTGCAGAGCCACGTAATACTTCATATTCCTGCCTCTGGAGCTACATTACAGATGTAGCAATCCAGAACACTTTACAACAAAGAGCATACTTGTTAATGGCTGCATTTTTAAATACATAGAAGATTCTGAATTTTCCTTTTTGAGAGAAAACTGACTAAACCAACCCCAGCTCATGATGGGAAGAATTTATCTCTAGGGTTCACACAAAAGTGCTGTGAACTGCTCCTAAGTAGCAAGGAGTATTTATGTATGATGCAAACATCACCTCTCAGCATCTATTATCACAGCAGGTGCTGTGATATGTATGTCAGAAAACAAGCTTTTAAACAGAGGAACAGTTGATAGCAATGGCATTTGGGCAAGGACCTCCCAAAATGACTGTAAGTCAGAACACATCTATTCACGTCATTCACATATCAAATACTACAATAATAATTTTTAAGGGCATTCAGTAGGCTTTTGCCTAATTTTATAGGCTTTCTACTGAAAATTATAGAAGATAAACCACATAAGGCATGCAGAGAAAATTCGAAAGGCATGGAAAGCTAAAACTGTGAAATATCATACTGGTATGCCAGCTACTTTAGCAAAAATCCAAAAAGCTGTATCTTACTTTAAGCCTGGTTTAGGAATGGAATCACTATTGGGATCATTCCTTGTAATTGGGATCATTCCTTGTAATATGTAATTGCCGAGGGAAAAGAGCATACAGATACATTAGCTTTCACATGCTTTTTCTTCCAAATGTGTTTTGACTAAATTCTATGAAAGCAATACGACAATAAAATTGCAGTCAGTGTGTTCAAAGGTTACAATACAATACTCTGCGTTTTAAAGAAAAAACAGAGAACTACCAGCAAAGAGAACAATGAATGGATTAATTTAAATGACAGGCATGTCTTTCTTACAGAAATGTTACCTAGACTTGAAGCATGCAAGCCCATCTCTAATCACAGACTGAATTCAGAATAATCAACCCATAGCATAAGTTAACGACCAGCTTAAGTGCTGAAAAAAGCAAGTGGTTTTAATGCCCATTGGTTGTTTTTGGTTTGGTTTGTTTTTTTTTTTTTTTTTTTTTTTTTTTTAATCCAAAAAGAAATGTTATGATACTCTTTTGGAGAAACTTAGTAAGTATAATAACTTTTGGGAACAGGTAAATTGGTCACATTCCTGTGAAGTTACTGAACTCATATCCTAGCCATATGACAAATGAACTAAAAGACGAGTATTTCTTCACAACTTTCTTTTGACAAGATTGAAAAGAAGTATTTCTGGTACTTCAAGGATTTGCAGAGACTGTGCAGGTGGTCAGATTAAATTTGCAGGTTCAGGTAGGTTCAAATATAGAAAGACTTAGAACAGAATGGAAAATTTTAGAATATAAGTATTAACTCTGCAGCCTCTTGCCATCTGTAGTTAATTAAAAATCCACTGTCACCCACAGGAGGAATAACACACCACAGGACATTTCTGTGCAGTCTCTGCATACTCTTAGTTTCTTGGTATTACTTATGGGGCTAAAACTGGCTATGAAACATTTGCCTCTCTTTTACATGCAGAAACATTTTCATCTGCTTTTCCACCATAAAACACAGCAATAAAATTTTCCTTCTCTCCAGAAGTTACTAGGTGCTGTTTCAACAAGCTGCTCCGAAAATCTTTCACCAAATCCCAGGATCTTCCGTTACTCAAAAGTTAAACAGACAAGGCAACTGCTCCTTCCTTTCAGTATGTGTGTAAACTTGGGAGAAAAGATCGTAATTGTGTGACTAAATTGCTTAGCAACTGTAGGTAAAAATGCTAATATGTCATAATTTATATGTGAAAAGATTGCAGGGGGCTAGTAGCCATGTCTAGTGCTATTGAGGCTTCCCGCTGAGAACTGCACTGCAAACTGGCATCTGACTCAAAACACTGTTATTTTCAACAGTTCAGAAAATGCAAATGTGTCAGCAATTGGTCAAATAGGCTTCCATAGCAGTGATTTATTGCAATCTCTCACATTAGCGTGCTACTGACCTGTATAAATCACTTGCAGGCTGAAAACAAGCCCTGTGCACAGCCTTATAATTAATTCATGTGCTGAATCAGTCTTGCTAACTTCAGAGCGACTGTTGGAAGGTAATTTTGAGCAGTCTCAGCCAGACAAAGATAATTTCTATGGGCCAGATTTGCTAATGTGCACAAAGCTGAAGAAAATACCATTTTCCAGGGGGCTTTGGAATGACAGAGGGGAGAAAAAAAAATAAAATATATATATATATCTTAACAAAGAGGAGAAACCAGTGAAAGAGATCTGCAACTACTATTTGTGTCCAGCAGATGTGATGGTTTCCCTGAGCACGGTTTACTGCAACTGAGGTGCCAAAGACATGAATTTCTGTGTGGGCTTTCATAGCTTCCTTATCCACATGTGGCAGAGTTAGGATGGTTACTCTCAGAAACTGAAGAAATATGAATATAATCCTAAGTCTGTCAACCATCCGCATACCTGAAACACAAAGAAGATAAACATTTGGGAAAAATGTATGTAAAATTTTACCTGCAGCCACTGTGACTGGTCACTGTGGCCAGAGGTCCAGGCATTAACTTTGCCTTGTTTGTCCAGCCGGGCTTTCCTGGGCTCCCAGGTGAACATGTCCATGTTGAGTGTACGGAAAACACTGGAGGCTGTAATTTGGAAGTCCTGTATGTGTCCTGATTTCATCCCCAGGGGTTCAGAGCAACCTGGAACAGCAAAATAAGATCTCTCACACTACCTACTTATCTCTGTAAGCGGTTTAGGTTTTTCTGTTATGGAAAAGAAAACTAGCAATTCTCGAAGAAAAGGCTTTATCAAGACTATTGTTGGAGGAACTTGCAAACAAACAAATAAAAACAGCCAATTCAAGGCACTTTATTTCAACACTGCCTTGGAAGAATCAAAAACAATATAGATAATTCAATGTATTGTATCCTGTCATAAATTCATGAAGACAAACAGAAAAGATTACCTTTGTTTCTTCTTATCTTAGTTTTATTTTCCTGTCCAGCAGCTTGCTATTGTTTCCCCTATTCAGTTTGATCTTATCATGCTTTCATGCCATGTCACATCAACCATGTGTTTGCCTACTGAGGAAACATTAATTTTTCTTAAAGACACTGCTGAAGTAAAATGTTAACAAGCACAGAGCTCTTCTACACTTTTGAATTACTTGACATCTTGCCAAAGCCTTAGAAAGACCCAACACCCACTGATGAAGTGGAAGGCTGCAGAAGAACAACTATGAAGGAGGGACAACAGTAGCAGATAACTGCTTAGGAGAAATCAAGAGTTAATGGCCTATTTGTTTAAACCAGGTGGATGTCCCGCATCGTTGAGTTAGTTTGATTGTCGCAAAATATAGATTTTAGGCTTCTCCTTTTTCTGTTGGGTGTCCACAAAAAAAATAAAATAGTAAGTGACTCTAAGTCCCTCTGCCTTGCTATTGTATACTGAGAACACAGAAGGTTGATTTGGACCCAGAAGAGGGAAGAAGCAAGGTGACAACAGGAAACACACCCTTCAATAACAGCCCTGTAACAACAGTACTGGAAGCCAAGGGAGGTAGATGAGCTGCATGGTTTTAAGATTAAAAAAAAAAAAAAAGGAAAAGAGAGGCGAGTCAAGTGGCTGAGAGTGAGAAGGCTGTTAAGAAACTAGGGTCAGGAAAGGTGGATGTATGGTCAATGGGGTAATGTTTGATGGCTGTTTGAGGAAAAGGTGAAAGATAGGGATGGGAACATAAAAAGAAGCAGTTTTCTCATTTCCTTCCCACCCCAGCTGTCAAAAACCTGCATACGTGCAGCTGTACTGAAGTTTTCACTTCACAGATTTGGTGATCCTACTATATTCAGTATCTGAGTTGCAGTCAAATTGCAAATAATATTTTAACATCCTCTAACTCATTGAGTAAGAGTGTGCCCAGGATCTGACATACCTGTTTTCGCCAGGAGTGCATCATCACCGTGAATGTACAGAGCCTTGACTTTACATATCATTTGGAGGACAGAGGTTTTCCACCTGCCACTCACATCCCACGTTGCTCAGCTGGCTCCTATCAGGTAATCATTTCCTGAGGCACCAGCTCTGTTCCTTAAAGCACACACGTAAGTTGTGAAGACTTTCCTGCTGGGACCATGACCCTACTCAGCTGGTGTTTCTTGATAGAGCCAGAGAACAGTGTGACCACTGAAAACACCTTCAAAGTTTTTATTTTGTTTTTCATTTTATTTGAGCTAGAAATCAAAGATGGTTCTCTTTTTTCTTAAAAGTCCATTTCCTCCACAGTATGTTTAGCCAGATTTAAAGACCTGATTCTTTTTTTTGTTTCTTTGATACAATTAGCAAAGACCTTTTGGTCAGATTCTACTTTCTTTTTCTCCCGTAGGTTTAACACACAGAATTAAGTGGAATTATTACGGATTCAAATCAGGAAGCTAAGACCATGCCCTTTGTAGGGGTATGCAGGAGCAAAGGCATATTATCAGAGACAGATAATAATAATATGCTCTTTAATGTAGTTAACGATTGTATTTAAAATTTGAAATACTGTTGTTTCATATTCAATTAAAAAATAAGCAGAAAACAGAATTTTTGAAAAAACCTCAACCTTTCAGAGCCCATTCTCAGGGCATAAACAGAAATTGAACATCCTTGTCTGTAGAATGAACTACCCCGTTCAAAACAACAAAACAATTTTCCTGGGCGTAGGAGGGAGCGATTGATAGCACAAATGAGAGAGACTCATCGGTTGCTTTAGAGAAGGACTTTGCTTATTATTCAATTCTGAAGTATCACTCCAGGATCACAAGGGCTGTCAGCAAGAATGTTAATCCGAGGAATCTGAAGGAGGTTCCTGACACAAAAACATGGGTTGTTAAAACTGTTTTTCAGTGCTGGTCCAATCCATCAAAAATAGTTCTATCTTTTTCTGAGTATTATTACTGATTTATGAAACAACAGATGTATTTGCTAGTGTGTCTGTGCATGCATGCATGCATTAATGGGATTCTACACTCGCCTTCCTTTCCCACTGCCCCAAAGGGAGGAGGAAGACGGTTGTTAAAGCTAATGGGAGAAATTGAGAAGACCAATGAGAACCAGAAGAGACTAATGTGATGCACAGGGGTGGCAGAACAATGTCTTAGTACTGTGTCACAGAGAACAACAGCAGACCCAGTGGCTTCCCAGCTCCTACGGCACCCTGCTGCAATGACAGAAGATAACAACTGTTTATTTTGATAGGCGAGCTATAAACTAGAGCGCAAAGGACAGAATCATCCAACCAGTACAAAACTTTGTGTCTGTAGATAGTCATCTGTCATAGAAGTGTATTTATAATAATGCCCTTGACTCCCCAGGACATCTCTTCACTGCACTGCATCTTCTTTAAATTTGCTTTGCAATGTCCCTGTGAAAGGATTCAACCTCCCTTTCCATTTTTACTACCTGTTAAAGTTAGTGAGAGCTGATGCAGGCATACTTATGGCTATGCTCAGTGGAGCATCTTAGGTCAAAATGTCTGAGCTGCTTTGGATGTCAACACCTGTGATAAATGATATCTGATAACTCCGCATGTTTAAGCCTATCTATATATGAGTTTGCAGTTACTTTTTATTTGGTATAGTTCAACGGAACAGGAGCAGTGAAACAATGAGGATGAGTGTGGATTAGCATCTGAAAACTGAAAGAATCCACATCAAGATTATTTCCTGTTGACTATTCTGAGGGCACATTTTAATCTTCAGTCTGTGTCCTGTACCATGCCCCTCATGTACTTTTCTCTTTCAAGAAAGCTCAAACCCTCAAAGGAAAGATTAGATATCCAATGCAGTAGAAGCAAAACCACAAACAGATCTGCATGGAAAGTTCTATACACACCTTGTCTTGGGCCAAGAATCACGTAGCATTGGCAAAAGCAGCACAAGTCAATTATTTGAGGGCAAAGGTGATTTTGTTTTGAATAATCCTGTGATATTTTTCTTTTTCAAAATCAACAGAATTCTAAATTTTTCCTGTTATTAATGAACATAGGATTCTTTTCCAGATCACTTAGTGACGCATATGAACATGGGGAAGGGAATCTAGCATTAAACACAGATATTACAATGTCCCCTTGTGTATGAGTTCATGTGAATGGTACCTATGGGTACTGTTAGGATAAAGAAACAGTTACAAGAGAACAACATGCCAAAAAGAGGAAAACTACACTCTCAGAAGATGCTGAGTCTCACAAGGGTGGTTAAGTTCTGTGGACCATCATCCTTCTGCAAGAACTGACAAAGTCAGAACATCAAGAATCTGCTGAATTAATACACAGCCACCAACATACATGAGCATCAACAACGTATGACACGGACAGCATGCAAGGGGGCAGATCCTGCTATATGCTGATGCTTGAGTGTGTGAGTGAATTGAATAAGTTACTATGTTGTGCGAACAGTGATCTGTTTTTAAAAACAACAGCTTGATGATGCTATTAATAACAGCTTAATGAATAAAGGCATTCTAATAAACAGCAGCTCTGATCTGTTTCTCCCTCCCAATTAATACTCTGTGAAGGCAAGGGAATTTACAACACAGAGATGTGCAAAACACAAGTAAAGCAGGAACACAAAGCCATGAAAAACACAAGGCCTTATTTATTGATGGCCAAATCCACAAGCATGGATTATGGTTTTCAATAAGATCTGACCATAGGTCCCAGTAAGTGAAGCTATTTATGAGCCTAGAGGAGATTACACTGAACTTTTTGCTGAAGTTTGTCCTAAGAAAGGATTAGTTTTTATGATGATGTGATGCTGTGAGACAGTGTCCCTCCCTTCAGTAGAGACTATTTTCTCCAGCACTAGGAGTTGTTAGGGAGGCCAGACCTCTCAAAGCGTTTTTCGGCCTAAGACAGACCTCCTGGAATTAAAGTGAATTAGTCTGTCATTACGTATAATTATACTTTTATTTCAGTAAGATTGAAATTGTTCTGCTGAGCCTTGGCCACCTGCAGTTCTAAGAAATTATGACCTTGTAGCTGTTAGGAGGCCACTGCAATGAATTCATTTCAGTAGCTTTCACAATTCTTCAAGCAAAACAATTCCTGGTCATTCTGGCAAGGACTTACTCTAAATTATGGTTCCAGAAATGGAAGACATAAAAAAAAAAATAAAAATCTAATAGACTGAAGCAGCTAGATAGAATTTTCTATTTACTCTCAAACCTATCTATATTGGAAAAGGGCTACAGTTAGATTAATGCATTAACTTTTCATTTCTGAATCTGGTTCTGATGTCACTAGAGGACTGAGAATTATTTAACTCCAGCTGTTTTGATATAGAATTTGTGAACTGGATGACTATTGTTTGTACAGTAAGCAGGCAGCCACACAAAACCACTATTAAATAAATTCAGTGGAACGCTTCCACTGGTAAAAGGTTGATCTCTTGAAAAAGATAAAAAATTTACATGCTTTACTGAATTTGTAAGGGAACATGGTTCTTGAAGAGACTGGCTAGAGGTCAGGCTTTACATTTATGAGCTATAACTTTGGCTACTACAAACCTTGAGTGTTTATATTGGCTCCACTGGCTCATTTACTTTTTGCTATGAGACTCAATCCTTGCTTCTGCTAGCAACCCACAAAACAAATCTAAACTGAAATCTTGACTAAAGCAGTCGACCAAAATATATATTACTGCACATTGAGTGGTCCTTGAAGGCAGCTGAAGCACCCTTGTTCCTCTGAGGATATCACACAGCACATTGGCATGGTCGCCCAGCAGCCAGGGGACATTACCGAAACCAGCTTTAATGACTGCTTCTGCCGTGACTCTGCTGTACAGCACTGCACAAATAGCTCCAGCTCTCAGAAAACATTTTAAGCGCATAGTGTAGGGTGTGCTTGAGTGTAACGGTGAGTTAGATACTCATGATCTGTTTAGTACGTAACGGGTTCTGATAGCTGTTGATACTTATTAAAATTGCTGTGAATGACCTTTTCTAGGTTGCATGTAGCTGGAGGCCAATGCACAAAGAAAGATTTAGAAAGCGTTATTAGGCTGTTACTGTACTACACTACTCCTGTTACTGCACTACTGCGAGCAACTATTGCCACTTACAGCATTTAGGTAAGTGTTGCTGCTCATATATTTTACATAAAAAGAGATAAGCAACTGTCTGGATAAACCCAGCCCTGCCAATTGCATTTCGCCAGGAATAAACTGCACGCAGTTTACACATCGGGCACAAAAATAGGCTGTGTGATGGTTGACTTCTGAGATGCGGTGACTGCAGAAAACCCACCTGAGAGCTCACAGCCAAGAAGTTCCATTCGCAATGTGCAGTGTCTTCTGCACACCTGAGGATACAGCCGGATGTACTGCGACTTAATTGGAGGGGTGAAGGAGTTAGCGTATGGGGTGTTATTGTCCACGTTTCCACGAAACACCTGCGATAAAATGACATATTCATAAAAATGTGCCAGGAGCATTACTGGAGGTTCAGTTAATTTCCATGTCTGTGTTGTTCTTCTGATCTTTCCTGCACATTTCTTTGCAAGTTTTTCCCAATCAGAGGCTGTTTTATCACTTCTAGTGCCCAACATACAAGTTTTTAAGTAAAACATACTGCCACTGGCTTGCATCGGCATGCATTTGCCACTTGTGCTGAATCAGGACTGCTATCTTGTCGCTCCTGGAAACTGAAGCTACTAATGCAACTAAATTATGTCTTCTTTTCTAATTAGTGCATTAAACAGTTCAAATTCAATTTAGCCTGCAATTATTTATGCTGATTGACATTTATTTTTTTCCCTCTATCTCAAGAACCTGATCCAGCTCCCATTGAGGTGCACTGTAACCTTCCCATTGATTGTAGGGGGAGCTGAAATAAACCCATAAGCATTCTTCTATTCACTCCTTACTCTAACCAGATACGACTGTAGGTTGTTTTCTTCCATCATTATATACCTCTTCACACAGCATTTTAATTTCCTAATAGAGAAACTATGTCTAATGTTGCACAGAGCCTTAGTTCTATCTTAATTTACAGAGTGAAGGGATTATTGCTACTTTCTATGCACAACTCTACAAAAAAATAAGTGGTAACTATAAACTGTAAACACACATTTCCCACTGGATGATACTCTTTGTGCAGTACAGAGATTAGCACTGATGAATGGGTTCTATGCTTTTAAGGGTTAACACTAATCTGCCAACATAATAAAACTAAATTGAAAACAGAGCCATGAGTAATTACTGGTAAACTAATTAACATTATAATCAGTTAAGTGTAATAAACAGGATTATTCTAGCCTTGGGACATAGTATTTATGCAACCATCAATTAAAGTATAAGAAATTATTAGCAGACAGAAAGTGCAAATTTCTTGACTTTTTTTTTCAGAGAAAAACCATACCACGGCAACCTATATCATGCTGCCAGGCAATTATGCTTATCTACTAGAGGTACCTCATACCTCTGAAGGCAGGCAAACCGTAAGATGTATTCATATACAGATCACTTAATCTTACCATATCTTCATTTGTGCCTTTTACTTTGTACATTGTCCAAGACTTCCCATCATTACTGTAGGCAACTTTGTAAGATTTTACATATTCTGGACTTCCAATCCTCTTGGCACCTTGAGTTATAACTCCAGTGACTCTCATCTTCTTCTGCAGGTTTATCTGAAATAAATTACAATGTTATCATTAACCATCTGAAGGACACAATTCTGATTCCAGATTCCTTTGATTCCTTTTTTTTTTTTTTTTTTTTAAATGACAGAAAGGAAAAAATTCAGCTGTAGCATTTAAATTACTATCTTTACAATTGCATTAATTCCTTTCATCTTTCATTCTCTTAATGTACATATGCACATAAATAACTGAAAAAAAAAAGGAACCAAAAGCCTGTACTATGTTTATGTCTTCATGTGTACGTGTGCACATAAACACACACATATATATATATTATTGATTTGTAGGATATTGCTGGTGTATTACTGGGATACATAGGATTACTGCTATATATTTATATATTTTGCAATAATTTACCAAAGGCTGAATCTTCTGTTCTATTACAAGCCAGTCTGTGATCCCATACCAAAGAGCCTAAATTAACTTCCAGATAAATTTCTTTGTGAAAGTAAAAATACCTGAATGTTCTGTAAAGCAAACAAATAGACCTTTCCTTGATTCTCACTGAAAATTCATACATCTAAAGGTTATCACTGAAATGCTAATCCCAAAACAGTCAATAGCAAAATATCAACGGCTATCAATGGGTATGAACATTCCCTGTGTACTTGTCTGAGTTGACCTCAACCCCCTGAAATACAAAAGAAGATGTATGGAGAGTTCAACAATATTCAGCAAACCTTAATTTTGCCTTCTTTATCTGTCTATGATACGGGAAAGCCAACTATACTATCCCAAAATTCAGAATGTGATACTCAAATCAAACAGTGCCAGGACCATCAGCCTCGCCCCTACGATGAAGTCAGTCATGAAGCAATCTGTGAGAATTGCACTCCCACTCTCTCACTGGTAGGCAGCTGATGTCTGTAACTTTTGCACTAAATGAAGCTTAACAAAGACCTGTCATACTGCGAGAACCCTGTGAAGGTGCAGGCTGACGTGTGATAAGAGGAGATCATAGAATCATAGAATCATAGA